TGCGATGCTGCGGCTAGTAAAGTGACCAAAACGCTGGCTTGCATCCATAGATGCTTCTCAAGCAAATCCCGGGACGTCATTCTCCCCTTGTACTAGGCCTTGGTGAGGCCGCAGCTGGAGTACTGCGTCCAGTTTTGGGCTCCACAATTCAAAAATGATGTGGAGAAGTTTGAGAGAGTCCAGAGAAGAGCCACACGCATGATCAGAGGTCAGGGAAACAGACCCTACGATGACAGGCTGAGAGCCCTGGGGCTCTTTAGCCTGGAAAAGCGCAGGCTCAGGGGTGATCTGATGGCCACCTATAAGTTTATCAGGGGTGACCACCAGTATCTGGGGGAACATTTGTTCACCAGAGCGCCCCAAGGGATGATGACTAGGTCAAACAGTCATAAACTACTACAAGACCATTTCAGGCTGGACATAAGGAAGAATTTCTTTACTGTCCGAGCCCCCAAGGTCTGGAACAGCCTGCCACCGGAGGTGGTTCAAGCGCCTACATTGAACACCTTCAAGAGCAAACTGGATGCTCATCTTGCTGGGATCCTATGACCCCAGCTGACTTCCTGCCCTTTGGGCAGGGGGCTGGACTCGATGATCTTCCGAGGTCCCTTCCAGCCCTAATGTCTATGAAATCTATGAAATATATATATACACACACTAGTGGTGTTTCATTTTAATCATGGGAAAATGTGGATTTTAGGTTACTTTTTTTAAACTGAAAAATGGGGATTTTTTAATTAGAGAAAACCAGGATCCCTGTTCATTACCAGGGGCAGCTAACAGGCAGCAGAATTGCAAAATAAAGGATAGCTTGGTTAATTGAACACTGAAACCATTAAATAGGAGAGAGGGTCATTAACACCCAGGGCCATCCCTAAGGGGGGCGAATTGGGGCAACCGCCCCGGGCCCCGCACCTTGGGGGGGCCCCACGGCTCTGGGCGGAGCAGCCATGGCAACTCTGTGCTGCCACCACTTGCTTTGAGTCCAGCTGCTCATTCATCTCCTCCTCTTTAAAAACCTCAGAAAACAAAACTTCTCCCTCAGCCCTGAGGAAGTGTACTGTGATACCTGAGAGCTTGCCTCTGCCTACCCCAACAATTAAGGTGGTCCAATAAAAGATATTGCCCACAAGTTTCTGCTTCTCACTGCTGTTAATCTGTGTGGTTTGGAACAGTGGCAGCGCTAGGCTAGGGCAACTGCCCTGGGCACCAACTTTTGGGGGTGAGGGGAGGTTGGGGACAGGATCAAAAAGCAGTTGGAACCAGCAGCTAACCATGATGGCAAGGGGAAGTTGCTACTGTCCGTGTCCAGGAGGCTCAGCTGCAGCCCCATGCTGCCAGCTCAGGGGAATGTTTCCAAGCACTTGCATGAGGCTTTAGTTGGTTCCTTATTTCCAGTTCCTTTTCCAAAATTAATCTTTACACAATTAAAGGTTGTTGGTAAAGAATTAGACATACTACAGTTTGACTGTCATAAAAATATGTATTTACTAACAAAAATGTTAAATAATCATGGACCAAGTCTTGAAAAATAGCATGTCTAATTCATGACTGACAGCCTTTAATTGTGTATGGCAGAGGTTCCCAAACTTTCTCTTATCACCAGGGATCTCTCATAATAAAAAATTCCCAAATTTTCAGTTTTAAAAAAGTAACCTGAAATCCGCATTTTTCTGTGGTTAAAATGAAACACCACTCTGTGGTGTGTGTGTGTGTGTATAAATAATACACACACACACGCCAATTGCCCGTCAAGAATGATGGGGGGGAGTGGGCGGGGATGGAGCCCCATGTCCCTCCACCCCATCCGTGCCCGCTACCCCCTTCCCCGCCACAGCAGCAGTGTGAGGGGAAGAGCAGGTGCAGGCCCAATGTGGGGGGCGTGGGGCCGGACGCAGGGTTCCTCCCCCCTCACCCCACCCCTATGATAGCGGGGACTCAGGGGCTGGAGCTCTGGAGCATGGGGCCAGACATGGCCGGTGGGGGACGGCACACAGGGCAGGTGGAGGATCCAACTTCATCACCACTGCAAAGGAGGTGGTGGCAGCACAGGGTGTTGGCGATGCCGAGTTGGCCTTACCCCCACGCTCTGCTGCATAAGGCTGGACCCAGGGGTGGGTGGGGGTCGCATGGGGCTGGAGGTGGAGCAGCGACACTGCGGGGAGCTAGGTGGCGGCACTCCATCCCTGCCTACCCCCCCAGTCAGTCATGACAGGCAATGACAGGGACAGACTGGGACAGCAGCATGGGGCAGTGGGTGGTGGTGCTCCATCTCCACCTGCCCACCCCCCATCATTCTTGACAGACAATTGGCTAGTGTGTGCATATAGTGGTGTTTCATTTTAATCATGGGAATATGTGGATTTTAGGTTACTTTTTTTAAACCAAAAATTGGTGAATATTTTATCATCAGAGAAAACCAGGATCCCTGTTCATCACCTACCCCCTTCCAGATTTACTGACTGCACCCATACTCCTACCAGCCTCTTTTATATTTTAACTCCTTCATCAATGCCAATTATCATTATAATGAAAATTAAATCCACTGTGCCACAATTTCTCCCACATACCCCGCCAGAGATGTCAGGCTTACCCTGAGGGGTACGTGAACCACAGCTTAGGAACCCTGGTATAAAGATTAGGGAACCGGACCAGGGACCCTGCTTGAGCCTCGTCACCCTTGCCCTGTGTGCCTGGCTTCTTCCTTGGAGCAGTGGCTGCCCTCTCCTGGGCGGTGCTGAGCCCCTGCCAGCTGCCACAGTTGGAGATGGGCAGCAGCACAGCAGCATTGCCAGTTGTACAATAATTATTGTATTTGTATAATGCCAACCCTTCTACAACGTACAATCAATACTAAAATGTTCCAAATGCACAATTATTTTTGAGGTGGCTAACTACTGCAGCCAAGTCACTTTCAGGGAAACTTCGCTGACTTTGGGGTTTGCTACCAGTGCTTTCTCATAACTGCTTGCCTCAAAATGAAAAAGTGCTTCGACTTTTGATAACCCAGTTCACTAGCATGCAACAGTGAGCAGTATACAGCAAGTAAGAAGTCGACTTGTTTGCATACATTTTCAGTGTACGATAGTTTTTCAGCAAATACTTTAATTTCCGATACAATAATTTCATATATAACTTAATACCTGGCTGCGGCTCAGCCCCGGGCTACGGCCGGGCAGGGCGCAGGTGTGTGCCCACAGCACGTGCCAGGCTCCCGTCGGGCTTCCCCCAGCAGCAAGGGGGAGACCCCGGGGGAACGAAGCACCCCGCCCACACCAGCGGCTCGCCTGGGCGCGTTATAATGGAGGAGGACGAAAGCCCCAGGATGCGCCCGACGGCAGCTAGAAACCACGTGGTGGCGCCTGGCCCCACACTGGGCTCCCGCTACTGCGGCGGAGCCTCTACCCCCAGATACAGCGTGGCCGGGTGCAATGAGACTATCTTCAACATCTCGCCGCCCCAGGTCCCGCGAGCCAACACGAGGCGCCGCTGCCGGCTCACGTGTGCCGCCGCCCCCAATGGCGGCCAGGGATTTCCTCTCCCCAGTCAGACTGGCCCCTCTCTCCTCTCTCTCTATGGTGCGGCGCGGCGCTCTAGCCTGGCGCATGCGCAGCC